ACCTGAACCGAAGTCGGACACTTAACCGACTGAGCCATCCAGGCGCCCCTCGTGTCTCACTCTAATAAACATAAAAATCAAACAGCTAATTCCTCTCCCTCCAGTGCAATCTGATTTTATCCCCTCCCCAACTGCTCCTCCTTAAACTAATAAAAACCGCTGTTACTGCAAATCTCCACCAGCCAAGAGTTAGACTCTTTGACACAGGTGGCATTGGTGGGTCAAGGGGTCAAAAGGGGTCAAAAGCAACCCAGGTCCCCTGGGTCCCTGGAGAGTCTGATTTTGTCACTTGTGGTATCCAGCCCCTCCCAAAGGGAGAATTAGTCTCAGACATTTTTGTAGCCACCCCAGAATCAATGACACACCTGACAGATTGGGGAAGAAGGTAAAAACATGCCATGAGGTTAGACTTTTATATATACGATAACCGTCATAAGGCTTCCCCCAAGCAGTGACTTCCCTGTTGCTGGAAAGTTCGCATGGTAGCCTGAATGACCTGATTGGCAGCTGGGGACCCTGAGGAAAGGGCTCATTTTGATTTGGGTACGGGCTGAACCACCTGACTGACCCACATCTGAAGGTGGGACCGGCCGGTCAGGGAGGAGGTTTAGATATTTGTGCCTCCTTCTGGCGGTGCCTGAGGATGGACGGCTCCTTACAACGTTCTGGAAACCAGTCCTCAACAAATGGTCGGTGCCTAATAGGAACGAGTGAGGGCTCCTTTGGAGAAAGTCACTGAGAACAACATGGGTGGACGCTTCAGATAATAGGGAGAGGAAGAGAGTGTGAGCAGTGATGGGGGCAGCGTGGGGGGGGACTGTCAAGCACCCTCAGTGCTTCTGTGGCTGTTAGGAGGCCACACCAGATGACCTCTGAGCTGAAGAAGGGCTTCACCTGGGTCTCAGAGGATGGGGAGGAGCTGGAGAGGCAGAGAACCATTGGAGGGAAGCTGGATGTGGGCGGGACTCTAGCTCTCAAGGGGTAGGTGTTTCTGCCTCGAGGCTACAGGGGCTGAACTGGGCTGGCACCCTGGGCCACCCTTCATGACGGCGACCATCCCTTCCCTTGCCCACGTGTCCTTTCCTATCAACCACCGCCATCTGACCCCAGCCTCCCCAGAGTTTGCTCCAGAAGCATCCACTCACTTCATCACCTGGCTCCCCAGCTCCTGAAATCCTACTCGGCATCTCAGTGCACTTGACTGCCATTATCCCAATCTTTGCGTTGCAGGAAAAGGACATCTGCGTAAACTACTTTACGACCAGCAAGGCACAGTTTTCTTACACTTTAATGGGGCAGGGAGCCCCGTATAAGGGCTTCAGACTATTTAGTGGGAGGTGGTGACTGTTTGTGCTCAGGCCCAGCTCCTTACTGAACGGTGGGTGGATAATATGGGGCTGTCCTCAGACTCCTGCCAGGGAAGCGGAAAGTCCATGCTTCAGGGGAGCGGATGGTAAGAGAACTCCAAATCCTTCAAGGAATTCCCACCCATATGATGAAGTCCAGGCATCAAAACCCCTTGCAACCCTTCTCTCCCACTGCAGCCTTCTCTCCCACTGCCTCCCTACCAAAACCGTCTTCTGGTGCAGGGGGCTGCCTTCTGGTCCCTGAACATGCCCCCCCCACCGCTTTCTCTCTGTGCTCCAGCCCACCTCCCGACCTGGAAAGCTCCACTGGTCCGCCCAGCCTGATGAAATCCTAGCCTTCTCTAAAAGCCCAGCTCAAATCACAGAAGCACAAGCCAGGGAGGGGGGTGCTAGTCCCTCCCTCTCCTTCCCCTGCACTCCCACAGCCCCTTTCTACTTCAGTGCAGGAACCACTCACCTCTGTTTTGCATCCTTAACACCAGTGTACCTGTCTGCTTCCCCCAAAACACAATGCGGCCCCGAAAACGGAGCAACTGTGTCTTTTCACACACTTTCTAGCTGTGCGATCCCAGGCAAGTTAACTTCTCCAGGCCTCGGGTTTTTCTTTTGTATGACAGAACGAGCACCTACCCCACAGGTTTGTTGTGAGGACAAAATAATGCCTAACAGGGCTGGTGCCTGCCTGCTTCTAAGAGAGGGAGCAGCTGTCTTCCGCCCCGACCTCGATGGAGCCGGGCACTCGGTGTGCGCGCCATCCAAGCCGCTTCGGACGCCTCCCAGGTGCCACCAGGCCGCTGGGGGGAGCTGGGGGGTAGGGAGCGCCGAGGCAGAGCGGTGGGGAGAGAAAGGAGCCGCGGGGTGGGGGGCGCGGAGATGGAGGGGCCGGCGGATGGGGCGGGGGCAGGAAGCCGCGGAGGGCTGCAGGAACTCGGCGTGCGGCGGCCTCCGCTGCGGGGACGGTCGGTTCCGCCCTGCTCAGGCTCGGCCGCGAATGGGGGGGCCCGGCCGGCGGGCGCCGTAGGCCCCGGCG